TTTTCTGGTTCTTGAGCTGTTGGAAAAAGTATGTATTCCAAGTATACATAAGTGGGAGTAAAATAAATCTTTATTCTTACTTTCGTACTTTCCCTTACACCTCCTCAGCATCTTGCTGGTACCATGGAGATCACTTTATAATTTTAACTACTACACGTATACGTAGAGCGGTTTTAATTATTTTAGGTGGTATTATGGGACCGGATAAGAATGGGAATATTGTAGCTGTGCAGCCGATGGGCCGAGCTCGACCGCGAACGTTGATGCTTTTGGGACGAGTATCGGATTTCTACCTGGCATCAATAGTTGAAGCTGAAGCTTGCATGTGTTTTTTAAGGTTTTTTTTCCCTGTTTTTATAATTCAGCTATATTTTTTTGTGCTGTGTGCCGATAAAATAGTCGTGATATATTCATACAAAAAAAAAAAAAAAATGCATTCACTAAAAATTTGTTGGACCTTATCAAGAAAAAAGTAGACATGGCGAGAATTTTGTAAAAAGAGTATAAGAAATGGAATAAAGAAACAATCGAAGCAGGAAGTATGCTAGTATATCATCAAGTGAGGCTTATATACCTGTGTAAATGTATGAATACTACCGAAACTGTTGTGAAAAATACTAAATACATCACGGGTAATTGTGTATGGATGAAAAAATACTAATATATGCAAGGGAGAGAAGAAGGCAGAGCTGGAGTAAGATTGAATCCAATAGGGACTCCTAGAACTATGCAAAAACTAGGAATAGAGTTGTAACACTGCTACTTACAGTTACACCGCAAAAAAATTTTTTACCAATTTAACCAATTTTTGCCAAAATTTTTTAATCCCCGTCCCACTTGGACCGTCCACTTCTGGTTCAGCCTTCTAATGGTCGTTACTTATCATTACTTTAGTTTTATTTATGAACAGATCCGGAGTTTTGCAGCATTGGTGCCTGTACCGCTGGGAGCGGGAAGGGGGGTGAGGGAACGAAAGACTCGCTGCCCGTCCTCCCTGAATACGCCTATGGGACAAGTCGAGAGACGGGCGATAGGGGGAGGGGGTGGTCAAGTTACGTTGATTTAATGTACCAATAGTATATGCTGGTCATTTTGCATGTAAAAATATGAATTGAAAGTAATGCATTTGAAAGTTATTTTTTTGAAAATTTTGAAATTTGAAGTTATTTTTTGAAAATTTTTCACTTAAAAGGGTATTTCTGAGGGTATGGGAAAGCACGCTGTATTAATTTAGGAAGGAAGAGGCTAGGAGGCGATGCAAACTAGGCGTTATTATCGTATCAGATCTCGCTGAATTATCTCGTGAGACAATTTATATGCCTGCAGTAAAAGCATATTTGGATGTTTTGAATATTTTGCAGGTTTGCCCTTCTACTTCTATTCAAATATCGTGCTTCTAAGGCTCTTTTCAGCATGTAGGATTGGTGAAAAGATTGAGAATTTTGGTTCTTCCACGCTCAGTATTCAATTAGATCTTTTGTTTCAGTATTTTTTCCCTGGTTCGATCAAAAAAGTGTATGTGATCAACGCTCCCAGTGCGGTCAGTGTCCTCTTCAACATGGCAAAACGTGTGCTTTCAAAAGTAAGTGAGAAGATATCCATCTATGAGTTTTTTTTTTTAATGTTTGGGTTTGTTTGATTTCATCTAAATCAGGTCTTTTTTGTAGTTGTAAATAGAAATCTGTATAAGTAGAAATCTGTGTAACCGATAGAAATCTGTATAACTAGCACTTCTCATTTCTCTTGAGCTTTTATTATTATGGTGGAACTTAGGAACATTGTGAGTGATTGGACTATACATGGTGCCATAGGAATGCTATGCATTTTTAAAAATTTCATGTGCAAAAACAAGAGCCAACAGCACTAGTTGTTGCAGCTTAAATCACTTACAAAGATTAACAGATAAGCCCTCTGTAATGTCCGGGTTAGACTTGGATGCCTAACTTAAGAAGAACTACCTAAATTACGAGAAAAAAAAAATACTCTCTATGAGCAAATAAATAATATAAAGCCAACAGAAGAAACTACAGAACCAATAGAAGAAATAACTTTGGAAACAGAATAAGAATCAGGATAATCCAAAATTTACGAGGTATACCTTGTATACCAGCCAAATGCATAGGAAAAAAAGTCAAATTCGTACCAATAAAAAAAAAAATAGTTATCATTATATTTTTATCAAAAACACACCCTCTTGTATAAGGAAATTGGAGTTTCCTGGTGTGTCGAAGGCGCACTGAATACAGAAAGCAGGAACAGGATGAGGAAAGGAGGCAAGAATGAGATAAGACGTTTCGCTCCATTAAGTCATATATGTCTTAACACTGATAAGTTGACGACAAAAAAATGCGACAATATATCGTGAAGGAACAGTTCATGGATTATAGATTAGACACCAGCTAGGGTCTGCGTTTGTTCCAGCTCTCGATCGGATAAATTGTACTACAGAAATTCGAGCATTTGAAAAAAAATTTTTTAAACAATTTACTAGCAGACTGCATTTATAAATTTTAAATTTAAATATTTTGTGATTATGAAAGATAGTAAAAGAATGAAAATGAAAAATAAAAAATAATAATAAAATCTGAACTGAAATGTTTCGGTCCATCAATTCGCATACATTCCTTTTCAGTGCTGCAACTGGACCTTGTTAGTGTGACCGTTGCAACAGAAATATAGGTAACATACAATGTGCTAAAATAAAATAAAAAATTTGTAAATCGAAAGTAAAAAAAGTTTTTTTTTTTTAAATTTAAAACAGGCGAGCGTTGAGGCACCCGCTGAATTATGGCTCGTTTAATGGATGAAGTGCTTCAATCTACTTAATTTTTGTCCTATTTCTTTTAAGAGAATCTTAGCACCAGTCCAGTGGCTTGCCATATGCAGTAGAATAACTCTGGCCGACTTTTATGTCCGTTTTATCGTCTCAGCGCATCTTATTTATCCAGGATCATCATTTTTGCTTTTGACCTAAGTACTTTTGGCACCAAAGTTATTTTGTTAAAAGATGGTGGACTTCCAGGGCATCGAACTAAAATATTCTTTTTTAGAAAACGATTGAAAATATCGAATTTCTGGGCAGTGATTGGAAGGAACGACTTAAAAAAGACTTGGGAGAAGAAAATATCTTCAAATGTTGGGGTGGGACGAAACATGCTCCAAAAGATACAGGCACAATACGGATGGCAGGTGAAGTGCCGAGAAGTTTGAGGTTATTAGCGCTCATTTTTTCTTAAAGATTTATTTCGTTGAATTTGCAATCGCAGCATTCCAACACAGTATCTTTATGAGCAGGGCTTTTATATAGCTTTTCTTATTTCTGCCTTGTTTTTAATATTTCTTGTAAAGAATTCTTGAATTTTACAAATCTGAAGTTTTTGTTTTTTTTTTAGGGATAAAATTCTAAAAACAATCAAATTCGTTCCTGATGCACAGCTAACAAAGGCGACATTGTCTGCTGGCGCTACTTGGAAAGTATCGGTGAATATTCTGAAACGTGGTTCGGTGCTACAATGGTATTTTGTTGTTCGGTCTGGAGATGTGGATTTTAAAATAACATTCAATGAGGAGGAAGTAAATTTGTTAATTAATTCTATGTTTTTTATGCGTTTTTTGCAGCTATGCAATGCAAAAAACGCATATTGACGAGAGGTTGTC